ATTTATCATTATTTTCAAAATTACTTTTTTATTTACTATTTAATTTAAGTACACAATAAATAGTAATTATGTTGCACTTTTAACTTTAGGCCCACAGTAACTTAAAAAATTAACCAAGTTACAGTAAATAATTCAAAATTTAATTATTTTTTTTTTTAAAAAAAAGGCAAAATCACGATTTTTTTTACTCTGACCGCTATAGTAAACCCTAAATGGTAATTATATTACACTTTTAATCTTGGACCCGCTGTAACTTGAAAAATTTACCGAGTTACAGTAAATAATTCAAAATTCAATTTTTTTTCCAAAAAAAAAGGAAAAACCAAGATTTAAAAGTGCAACATAATTATTATTTACTTTGACCTAAGATAAATGATAAACGAAAAAATTAATTTTAAAAATAATGTAAATTTTAAAATTTTATAATAATATTTTTAATTAATAAATAATATTTTAACAATTAAATAATGAAATCTAAATTTTAAAATATTTTTAATGAATTAAATTAAAAGACAAAAATACCCCTGATTCCGGCATGTTAACAGCCGGAAATAGTGAAATGGGACCAAAAAAATGTAAAACATAATGTTTGGAACTACGATATTAAAATATTAATGTAAGGGACATAAATTTAAGTAGGCCCAAATGTAAAGGACCATTTGGACATTTAGTCCTTCTTTTATTAAAAAAAAAATTACTCTCTGCTTCTCGATTAAAATAGTATTGACAATTATTTTGAAATATAATCGATATATTATATTTTAGCCATCTTTAATATTCTTTCTGTTTTAAAATGATCACCCAATTTAAAATTTCACTTTTAATATGAGCTTAATAATTATTTAAAACCAAAGAGATGTACAATTTTAAAATATTGGAGCTATATACGTATCGAGATGGGCCTTTCATGCACCGAAAAGGGTACGCTTACGATCAGACAAGGTAGTTACCAATTTGGCAATTTATAAATCCGTGAAAGTGGAATAAATGTAATGTGTTGGTTATTAGCCAGAAGTTGAGAAGTACATAGATCTATATCCAAAAATAGATAACGTTGTTATATTCAGTCGGGTGAATGCTATATTTTGGTGTAAGGACTTTGAAAATTTATAGTTCCATTACAAAATACTTGTCTAGTTTAAATAGTTATTTTTAATATAAATTATATTAAAAGTAAAAAAATTTTATTGAACAATTATTTTAGGACAAATAAAATATATGATTTGTGATTCTCAGTTTTTAAAAGATAAACTATTCTTTAATCTCTAACTAATTTGTTGAGAATATTGAATATTGAGAGTTCTCTTATCCCACATTGGAAACGATAGATTCTTGAAACCAATATATAATCACATGTGATATTCCCTTTATCACCAATTTATTTTAAAGTGAAACCACATGTATGTCTATATTTGGGCCTTCAAGATGATATCAGAGCGGGTTTTATCAGCAATCCCCTGAATTGGATTTGGACTGATAACCAAATGCAAAAAAGACACTGCGATTTGGGAAGGCAGCCACGAATGGGGAACATGAAAACTGACAACAATAATTGGTAACAATGAAATTCCACCAACCCTAAAAGAAGAGGCCAAAATCTCAAGTTCTCAAAGTCTGGATCGACTTCATTGGAAAATCAATCAATCCCTCTCTTGAAATTAATTTTCGGTGCGCCATTTTCAGTTTGAATCGCGTGAAAAGATAAGATTCGTCATCAACTTGGCTGACCTTAATTTTGTACTATATATTGTAAGTCCAATGAATCCAACAAAGATCGCTGTGCCGCCTTCCCCCCTGATATACTAGAGTTCGATAGCAGAAAGTTCATATTTTACAAATAGCGAAATCATTCAATGGTATACTATGTACTGTTATGCTTCAAATATATACAATCACATAAATGAGTAATCACATATACCTACAAATAAAATTGAATTTTTTTAAAACTATTCAGGTGTCAAATTATTTTTTGAATATTAGATGATAATTTTATTACTTCTATCGTTTTCCTGGTAAAATATATGTATGGAGAGAGAGTTAACATTCAATGTTAATCCCACCCTTTAATTAGATATTGTCCGATTGCAAGACTTTTCATATACTCTTGGGTTTTATTTTGGGCTTCGGAACATCAACCTTTTCAATCTCCGTGAACATTTTTCACCGATTTTAAAAGGTTTTACTTCTGAATAGTGAATAGATAATTTTTTTTTAATCACATATGTTGCAAGATTTAATTTCGTTTGGTGATTTAGAATTATTGTAAAAATGGTATGACACAGTTAAAAGGTTTTTTTTTTTAATTACTCATTTATGAGCGAAAATAGATCGACGCACACATGTAGAGTATACATGCAATAGTTTACATGGTTATAATAGTGTTAGTTAAGAAAAAAAAACTATTAGACAAAAGAATTCTTTGATCGTTTATTGTGATATTTGTAGTCTAAAAAGGTTTAGGTGCTCCTAATCTAATGTGTCGGTGATGATTTTTTTCAGTTTTGGGAGCCTTCTGTAGGCTTTACTGATAGTTAAGATTATGAAAAATCTATATCGAGAGTGTTAGTTTAGATTTTGGATTTTTTTCCCTTTTTGGGTGTGCTTTATAAATGAATTACTGACGATTTAATGATTTATAATAATATCTTCTTTATTGCGTAGATTTTGGTCCCCTCATATTGTTGCACTAAATTTATAAACTTGCTTAATACTGACTGTAAGTTGTGTGTTTCTGACTGTATCTTGTTTTTGTCAATCGTTGTTGAATGATTTTCACTAAATTAATGTATTTATCTTTTATTTCTGAAAAAAAAAACTAAGATGGATCCGCATTTGCCTTTTGGTGCTTTGAGCGAAATAGAAATTGAATATATCATTCGTGACTAGGGCTGAACATAGTTCGCCCGAAACTGGTCGATTCAAACCGTTTTTGTCGGTTTGGCTAATTTATGTAGTGAGAAAACGGCTGACTGGTTTGAAAATTTTTCAAACCGTATAATTCGGTTCGGTCTTGGTTTGAACTCTGAGACCAGCTGCCTAAACCAAATCGCACTATACCTATATAATTTTATTCTATTAACCCATGAAGGTGTAGTTGGTTTAATGGTTTGCTCTCTTTTGTCCAAGTAGGAAGTCTTGGATTCGCAACCCCTCAAATGCAAAATCCTTTGAATTTTGAATGTTTTATGATTATGGGTCCTTGGCCCATTTTGACCCATCATGAATTTCGGCCCATCAATTGTGCTGGCTAGATTCCATAAATGATTGGACCTTATATTGGGCCATTCCTTACTGAGTTAAAAAAAACGGTTTGACAGTTCGGTTAGTTCGGTCTCTGCAGCAAAAATCACCGGTTCAGTCTCTAAAATTTGAGACCGTAAAATCCGGTTTGACCGATACTTAGACCTCTAAATCGGACCGTGTACACCACCATCGATGTGTAGGTTGCAGTTTTGATATGCAAGTAGAAGCAATATTGACGGGATCAAGGAAACGCATTGAGCTTCGACTTGCAATTATGCATGTAAAGATCATACAATAAAGTATAGATCAAGAATAAATTCAAATTCCTTGTAAGAACAGGAAATCATTAATCAAGCAGATTATAGAAATATTGAAAAAGAATAGGTATACACTGTTAGTGTATAGAGAAGTTAATTTTGATGCAGTCACTTTAACAACTTGTTTCCGCGGATAATAAATAACTTTGAACAGTGAAGTTAATTGCCAACAAAGGTACGAGTTATTTTTGAATTTTGAGTAAAACTCAATTCTTTATATGCTTATTAGATAGCTAGAAATTAGGGAAGTAGACTCAATAGAGCTGTCGCAGAGTTTCTTTTTGAGGAGCTTTAATGAGATAAACTCTAAATGTAATATAGTTACATCCTTACCAGAACTGTCATGGGATTAATACTAATTTTTGTAAGACAGACTCACAGATTATAAATTTGTTAAAATAGAGCTATTATGGAATTCAAAAATATCCTTGCACGAGAGAATATATATATATATATATTGTGAATTTTTAGCACCGACCATTTTGTCACTTTTTTTCAATTAATAAAATAGAGAAACGCCATGAGTTACTCTAGATTTCCGTTCCAAAAAAAAAAAAGAAACTCAATGTCTAACTATCTTTAGAGGAGATTCAGAAATCCTTGTTCGGAGAGATTTTGAATTCTTTGTAAGTCCAAACCTAGATGTAAAAATGTAAATATTATATATATATATATATATATATATATATAAAAAAATGAATAGTTGATTAATTAAATTTTGGGACAGTTTTTAAACAAGTGGAGTTTTTACATCGGGAGCGTTTATTGGGGGTGATATTATAATGGTTAAAGAATGGAAGATAAAAAATGAAATTACAAAAAGTGATTTATTATATTTTGGTTTTCGAGACAGCAATTTATTGTGAGGGTCGACAATCATTCCCAATCATAATTTTTTACTCAAATAATATAAAAATCATCCCGTCCCCTTTAATTTCAATGTTATAACGGGCTTGATTGAATCTCGGACAGTTAAGCAAAACAACTTTACTTGTAGAATAGCATCTCTGTCCGACGAATTTATCCGATTTAATCATTAAACAATCAATAGTTTTTGAAGTTTTGCCTCCTCCCTCTCTGTCTTTTGCTTCTTTCTTTTTTCCCCTTCACAACCATACAAAATTACAGATAAGAGTAACAATCGTTGTAAAGAAAATTTGCTAGAAAATTTTATATGAAATGAATAGTATATAGTTAAACTCTATCTTTATTCATTTATTAAGGTTTAGAGAATAGTTAAAGATCCAATCACATTATTTCCCGTTAGACCTCTAAATTTTTTCTATATATATCACTATTCCATAAATAATTACTAACTAGTTGTCAACTTCAAGCCAATTATTATACTACTAGTACTTTTCTCAAAAAAAAAAAAAATTATACTACTAGTACTTTTTTCGCTATTAAGCAAATCCTTTTAATTGGGTCCAAAAAAGATAGAAATAATAACACTGTTCTAACTTTTGGACAGGAAAAAAGTCGTGAAGTTTCATGACTTTCATCTTCTGTCAGTCTCTTTTTCTGTAAGTCTGCTTATGTGGGCATAGTGATATTGATTGACGTTTCTTATAAATAGACAGGGTCATGTGCTTCTGTGATTATAATGTGAAATTGGCAAATTGCCATTCATTCATCCTTACTTTCAGAGGAGCATTTCTTCCTCTGTTTTCTTAATCTGATAAAAAGCTCTTCTTTAAGCTTTCTGCGGGTTCTCAATTTTGCATGCTAATTATCATTAACAAATTCTGAGAATGATGATGAACAGAAGACCAATTCATTTGTTTTTATATGGTCTCTGTTCATTGGTTATTCTGCTGAAAGTGGAAAGCTTTAATGTCGGCATCACTTATGTCGAGACAGCAGTAGCAAAAGGAGCAGGTTTAAATATTTGAAAGATACAGAGTCCATTAATTTGAGTTCATATACTTCAGGCTTTGCTTGTTTAGGACAGAACCCTTTTCAGGTTTTGAGTTTTTTTAAGTAATGGGTGCTTCTTGTTTCAGTTTGCTTGGATGGAAGTGCACCAGCTTATCATTTTGATAAAGGATTTGGAGCAGGAGTCAATAATTGGCTGGTTCATATAGAGGTTAACCATTTACAAACAAGCCATTGCAAAGTTTATGTACATTGTCTTGGATTGGGTGATTGATTTTGATAAGAACTTTATGTTAACTACCATGGTGTATGGTGGAGATTCTGTTGTTTTCATTTTTTTCTTTGCTACTTAACTTTTGGTTGAAAGAATAATGTCCAAAACCAAAACCTTCAAGCTTAAGAAATGCTTTAAGACCTTTTTTTGCTTCTTTTTGTTGTGAGATCTTATAGTACTAAGATAAGTTATTAAAATTTTTAAATTTCTAGGGAGGAGGATGGTGCAACAATGTAACAAATTGCCTTCAACGAATAAATACTCGTTTAGGATCCTCCAAGCAAATGGTGAAGCAACTTGCTTTTTCTGGGATGCTAAGCAACAAGCCACAGTTTAATCCAGGTACATTATTTGCTATGAATTGTCACATTTTCATGTAGGTTGAGTGGTTTCACCTTCATATTTGATCTCAAGGTATTCTCCTGAACTTAATTTTTGGACTCAATTTGAATCTCCAGACTTCTATAATTGGAACAAGGTGAAAGTTAGGTACTGTGATGGAGCATCATTCACTGGTGATATTGAAGCAGTTGATCCTGTAAGTCTTATGTAGTAAAAACTGAATAGTCGGTCCTATGAATAAGGCATAATTCTGAACTATGTTTAGTTTTAAATTGTGCCTTCTGAATAGAACTGGAGGGATTTAGCCGAATATCTTTCTTCAATGTTTCGGATGAACTCCTGATGGACATGTATAAGCTTTTTCAGGCTACAAATCTTCACTTCAGGGGAGCCCGGGTTTTTAATGCTGTTATAGAGGATTTACTGGCAAAAGGAATGAAAAATGCAGAATATGTAAGATGCATTGATTACAGACTCCCTTACCCCTGAAATTCCATCACCAAAGTAGAAAAAAGAAATGAAAATCCACATCACATGTATATCTTTGATTCATTTGCTTTAGATTCTCACTGAACTTGCTTTATATGTCAGGCTGTTCTATCTGGATGTTCTGCCGGTGGATTAACTGCGATTCTGCATTGCGATAACTTTCGAGCTCTGGTACCCTCGAGTACCAAAGTGAAATGCTTCGCAGACGCGGGTTATTTCATCAATGGGTATGCTTTCATTTCCCATTGTGTTCAAACTGAGTCCAATGAATTTTTTGTAGAGTTCCTAAGTCAATTTTCGTTAATCTCCACTTCTGCAACAGGAAAGATGTCTCTGGGGTCTCACATATTGAAGCTTTCTATAATGATGTTGTCAACACACATGTGAGTTCATCTACTTCATCCCTTCCTTTATTAGGCTTTTCACTTAATCTGTCAAATTTACAGTGTTCTTAGTGGAAGAAAAAATATTCCCTGCTGCCTTTTCGTATCCAATGAAAGACCCTAGAAATATCCGATGTAAAAGAAAAGAAAAGGATTAGCTGTTTAGTGAACCAAATGCTTTACAGTTCTAAAGTTCATCTTTGAAATGCTTCAGTAAACAACAGTTTGACAACTTTTATCTACTGCAACTTTTCAAACATAAGGAAACTGCAACTTTTCATTCTTTTTTTTATTTGCTACATCATATATCTCCTTCCTTTTCCACATTTTATTGACAATTAAAAGTTGGCAAGGCAATAAAATGCATATTCTAATTCTAAGTTTTCTTGAGCCGGTTGCAGGGATCAGCAAAGTTTTTACCTGCAGGGTGTACCTCAAAAATGAAACCAGGTTTGGTAGGTGCCATAGTTAGCTAAGTGAAATGCCAATCTTAATATTCACCTATTCGATGTCATTCAAACATTATTGTTTAATTTGTCGCTCTTGCAGTGTTTCTTTCCGCAAAACATGGCACCTACAATTCAGACCCCAATTTTCATCATAAATGCAGCCTATGATTCATGGCAGGTGAGAATTGCCTAAATTTTGGAAGAAAAATTTGTTGCTACCATCTCTTCAAACTTCAGTTAAGTGATCTTGGTTACTTTGAAAGATATGGTTATGAAACCTTAGACAGAAAGGTTTCCCAAGTACTTGGCTGTCTAAATCTGCTTGTAGTTAGGTTTTGGAAATAGAACTGACTCATATCATTGACATACAAAAGGATCTAAATTTCCTTGAAGTGTAATAAGTTATGTCAAGAAGCAACTTATGAATCAATAATGACTAGTAGGAACCACTGTGTAAGCTGTTTCAGAGTGAGACTTGAACGAAATGTAAACTTATACACATGAATGACACTTTTCGAAACCAAAAGGTTGAAACTGGATACTTTGTTTTCTCTGTTGATGTCAGTACTTTTCAGTCACCTTAATCTTTTCTGAATCCCTTTCTTGTAATTTAATTTCCCTAGATCAAGAACATATTGGCTCCTGGTGTTGCCGATCCCCATGGAACTTGGCACAATTGCAAGCTTGACATAACAAAATGCTCTTCTACTCAACTCCAAACCATGCAAGGTGATCTTGTTACTTCTTGAATTTAATGGCAGTCCAGTTTTACAAGCTCTTAAAATTAAAGCATCTATCCTGCAAATCTAGCCCCATACTAAGTAGCACTGAAGCAAAACATCAAAACAACACATAAGTTCGTCATTTGTCAAATTGATACTGTTTGTGCATGTTCAATATTTATTTACAAGTACACTGTAAGAGAAGGACAAAACTGGTTCGGATGGTTGTTAGTAGGAAAAACCATGAGGACTAATGGACTATTGAAGATTAGAATATCTGTTCCAATTAAACTAGAGATCAAAATGTATCATCCCTGTTCCCTATCTAGAGGAACCAACCATCCAGACTCTCCCATGCGGCAACAACAAAAGCAGAGGGAAACAAAGCCTGATCAGCTAGTTTCTTTGGTTGACTTTCAGGTTTCAGATTGGAGTTTCTGAATGCATTGAATGGACTAGGTACCTCTCCATCAAAAGGGTTCTTCATTAATGGTTGCTATGCACACTGCCAAACAGAAATGCAGGAAACTTGGTTGAGGGCTGACTCCCCTATCTTGGATGGCAAAGTAAGACAAGAAGTGCTTTATAAATTTTGTTTCATGCTTTTCTGCACTAGTCAATTTTCTGTCATCAGCAGAAACTGTTCAATTTCGCATGAACTCAATCCAAGTTATTAAAGTTTATGTCTTTGTGCATCAAACTTTGTTCTGCAGACAATTGCCAAAGCAGTTGGAGACTGGTTTTATGACAGAAGTCCCTTTCAGAAGATAGATTGCCCTTACCCTTGTGACAAAACTTGTCACAACCGAATTTTCGACCCACAAGAGAATCCCTCGGTATAGATATACCCCTTTCCATAAAATTTAAAAATCATTCTTTATGAACATTGTATGTGTGATCAAGATCGAATTGAAAGAGAGGAAAACAAATGCAGTTTGATGATGGTAAATCACTATTGTCAGGCATTTGAAATAAGGGCATAAATTCTTTTAGTTTCCTGATTAGCACTCAGTTGCGATAATTATGTACACTGCCAATACACCAAAGGGTGTGTTTTGCTGCACTCAAACTTGTAAACAACTGAAACAAAATACCATTGTTATGTTATACTGGTGAATTTATGTAATAGAGCTTTTCTTTTCAATAATTACATTTAATTTCGTAAGCAATATATTCGATTTTGTCATTATGAGAATCATTAGTCATTCATTAGAATGTCAAGTAGAGAATAACAGCATTTTCATGTTTTCAGCCAACAACTTATGGCACGAGATCAAATGACTTCGAGCGGATCAAAAATTTCAATAGAAATATTTTAACAGGTAAATGAAAATGGTTCATAAGTCTTCCATTATTGAACATGAAACTCTTGTATATATCTTGAAGAATACTAATGGTTCTGCAATTGGCTCTGCAGTCATATTCTTGCATGTCGCCCTTTCTTAATGTACTGATTTCAAGAGCTCAAGGCCTTAGAAAATTTTGACCATTGAAGCTTTCCAAGAAATGTAAATATGTGTAAATCTGCTTCTAGTAAATATGTGTAAATACTGTATTCTATTTATATTAGTAGATTAATGCACATTCTCTGGACATCCTAATTATAGACGTTAGAAGCAAGGACCAAGGTCATTATTTGACAACATATATGAGATCTTGTGCCAAAAGAACTAAGAAACTGGTATGTAGCTCATCAGTGTTTTGGGTGGTCAGGTAACAATTGTGTTTGGATGTGATGTAGAGCTCTACTCCCACTGTCCCAAAATTATAGTTTAGATTACATTTTCACTTTTATTTCAAATTTGGCAATTCGGCTAGTTGCAATCCGGTAAAGGTGACTTGTCCGGTGGTGATGATTTTTTTTTTCTTTTATTGAAAAAAGCTACCATACAGCTTTTTAAACTCTCATTTGAAAATTACATCTCAAATCTAAAACAAAAATAAAATAAAAACGGTGTCTATATAAGAACTTTTTGGGCTCCCAACTCTGGAGAAAATCCCAAATTAGAGAAAATAATGTTGGCCAAGGTTGATCGGTTAAGAGGTCAAAAGAGCAGGATTTTCTGCACAAATAATTTTAAGCACTCGGTAGGCGGGCGTTTTAGAATCCATGTTAGCAAAGGATAAAATGGAAAGAATAATACGAAAGCTAGATTTTGATTTGGCTTTTTAAATTCTGGGTCTTTTCTTCAAATAATCATCGAATTATAGTTTTAGGTGAAACAGATAAAACATTACATGTAGAGAAGTAAAGCGTCCTCATATATCAAAAAAAAAAAAAAAAACTTTTTATCACTTCTGTGTATGCTAAATCTACCCGCATAGAAAGACAAGCTTAATTTGTGGTCACATTTAAGGAGTTTTTATTCAAATCATGTCGGAGGTGTGGGAGGTGATTTTAATGTCACCCAACTATTGATACGTATTTTGGTAATTCCGAACCGAATCGTCTCCCTATGGAACACTTCAAGTCATGCATCAATGATTGTTAATTGTTGAAACTGCCAGCTCTGGTAAGCGATTTTATATAGGGGTACACGCCATACAGGATGGATTAACAAGAAGTTGGATTGATTACTATTCTTAGCGAAATGGACAGAATTGTTTAAAACTTCGTCTATACTTCACCTCGGGAGAACATGCTCAAATCATGCCCCTTTAATTTGTTGCATCAATTTAGCTCGGTTTTAGAGTCTCAACCGAAGTTATTTTGGTTTGAAAAAAGTTAGATTTGACGGCCTGATTTTATGGAGATTGTTCGACAAAATTGGGATCAAATGGTAGAGGGATATGGAATGCTACCATTCTCCATCAAGCTTCAAAGATTAAAGCATTGTTTGAAGACATGGATAAAGAGACTTTTGATGATATGTTCCAGAACCTAAGAGTAAGAGATGCTCAAGAAGAAGGTTAAAAAGAAATTCAGTTTGAGACTTCCTGTCCATTGGCTGATCAAATAAACCTGAATATGTCCAAAATTCATTTACTGATGAAGCTTAAGGAACACGATGGTTTTATGCAGCAAAAGATGAGATTAAAATAGCTAAAACATGGGGATTCGAATTCATCTTATTTTCATGCTTCCCTAGCTAAGAAGAGAATGAAATTGGGCATTCACAAGAACAAAGGATCAAATGCTAATTAGATTTCAGAGGCCAAAGAGATTGAATCACTGAATCACAAGCAGTCGAATTTTACAAGAGTTTGCTGCAAAGGAAGAAGTAGCTGATTCTGAAAGGAGCCGATTACAAGAGTTTGGTAAACGCTATTTTGATACAATTTCTCAAATTTGTAAAATAACTTTTTTGTTTATGTGTGTGTGTGTGTGTGTGTGTGTGTGTGTGTGTATGTGTTTGTGCGTGTGTGTAACATAAAATATTTATATTTCGGACTTCAAAATCATCAAAACATAGAGGGAACAACAGTATAGAACATGTGGAAAAAAATATTAAAATGTCCATCACAAAGTTTAAAAGCATTTCCACTTTTAAAAGTGTAATTTTTTTTATTATTCTCTATTTTTCCTTTTTCTTTTATTAAATTTGACCGGTCAAACAGGTCCAAGGTTTTTTTTAAAATTTTATTTGAATTTGACGAAACTACATTCTATCAGAAAAGGACATGTGTCTTTGTTTCCCGACCCCTAAATTTGATTTGGGGTTTTGAAAGACTTACTAAAATAGTGCAATAAATATTCTAAAAGAAAAAAAAAACAGTATAACAAATTGGACTCTTATTTTATGGGTGGAAGAGGTGAGTGACATTCCAACTTGCCTGATTGGTCCGCTGTTCTGCACAAAGCTTGTATCTTTAGCTATTTGTCTGCTCTCTCTTGCCTTATAATCATGTTTTGTGCTGAGTACTGTGTAAGGATTTTGTGTTTCAAATACTGATTATGAGTAGATAGTCTTTTGTCGGGGTTGAATCTCTCTCTTTCTATGTGAAATTACTTCACATTTGCATTCGGTCAATGTAATTGTACCCAATTTTAGTGTTTGAATTAATCTTGTATGTAGTCCGATCAACAAGGCACTTTGCATGCATACTGGGAGAATGTCGGAGGGGTAAACTCAATTTAAAATGTGAAATTGCCCGGTGACATAGAGGTAACATTCTACGGTTTCAACTAGAATCATAAGATACATAGTGACTACGAGGCAATCATTAAGACTTAAGTTTTTAATGTTCTAAAGGAACTTAACATTTTAGTCGGAAGAGAGCTTGTTACTCGCTGGAGGGACTTCCTTTAGAAAATCAGCAGATACTTAGGGATTAAGTGTTTGATCAAACACACTTCGTACCACATGGATGCATAATCACTATAGATGTAACATAGAAAAGGAGGAGGATCCCAGACTCTTTTACTCTGTCTAGTTCCCTGTTTTCTTGCTAAAGCTACTGTCTTTCATGTTTTGCCTGGTTACATTTACTTTATTACTTGTTATTTGTGTTTCCGTGTTGTAGTTCTGTTAAGAAGACAACCACAGTGCTAACTAGATGATAACGTTAATTTGTTACATAAAAGCATGGAAATTTACTCTTTAATTAATAAGAAAGTAGGGGTGTTTCTCAGAATTAGTTCATTTTACTTAACTAGTTTTGTGTTTTTAATTAGGTAAGAACCTGAGTGAACATTAGCTTAAAAAGGGGGCTTATGGAACAAAAATTGGGCTGCTGGATTCAAATTTGTTGAACTGGTCAAAAGTAACTTCAAGACACAAAGCACATTGGGAGTAAACCACCATAGAAACCAAAGAGCATGCTTGTCCCCTTGGCTGAAGAACCGATCACCCACATTGATCAATGCTGCTGCTGATACCACTGCTGGAAGAAGGGGAAAAGGCCAGTCAAAACCGGATTCAAGACACAAGACATTGGGGCTAATAAAATATACACAAGCATGGTGAGACTCTCTTAGAAAAAGAACCGGCAACAAGCTCTATAAAAGGAGCTACATTCCTAGTATAAAGAACATATATCAGAGGACAAAAAACACACATACAATCCACCAACACTACACAGACCCAAAGAAGAGAGGAAGGAACTCCAAGAAGAAGAAGCCCAGTAGCAGCAAAGAGGGATAAAAGGCCTCACTCGCCTGAGTGACTTCTGTCACTCAGGCGAGTGACCTGTTGTCCAGCATTCAGATTTGCTTCTTCTCGCTTCTTTCTTTCCTTTCTTATATTTTCTGTAGTTTGTGTGTGTAGTTAGTCAGATTTCATTCTCTGGAACCTATGTAATTTGAGTTTGTAATGCACTTGTTGAATACATGTTTTGAAGTTGGAAGTTTTTCTACATTCGGTTACTTGATCACTAATTGAATGCATGCTAGAACTAGGGGAGATCAGGAAAGATAAACTTGGTTTGGATAGATTTCAGTTTCAACTTATGACTTGGAGATAACAGTCCAAGGTTCTAATTGAGATATGAATATACTTGGTTAGCATAAGCATTCATGTAAGGCTTAAAATCTTAATGACTTCATGACTTGATTAATCATTGGAAAATAGTTTAATTGAGTTCATAAAGATACCTCTAGGAAAAATTGGAAGTGACTTAGAGATATATAAGTGCCTGAATGAGCATGAATTCATACCAAAAGAGTGCAAGATTATCACTTGATTACATAGGGAAAAGAGAATGAATATCTCAGTTTGTTGAGTCAGTCCCCTGAGTCAGAATTCTCACTCCCGTGAGTGAGGTTTCAGTTGTCTGTTTGTCTCCAGTTCTGCAAAGTCCATTCGCATGAGTGACTTTGTTACTCGGGCAAATGAGCCTGTAATTTTCTTCTTTGTTTGTCCAACTCTTATATTCTTGTTTGTTTTTCGGTTATTTGAAATTTAACCCGTCCCTGTGGGATTGACCCGACTTATTCTATCTACAGTTTAAATTGGTAATTTATTTTGGGGGTTTCGACAACCCACCAAAAGTGGCGCCGTTGCCGAGGACGGCGATCAACTTCTTTTAACCCTTTTGTGATTCTTTTATTTTTCTTTCTTCTAGGTTCTTGAGACATCTTCTGTATGTCATATCCCTAAGTAGCTTGTTAATTCTGAAATTTTGTGTGCTTAATGTGTACTTGCTAGACTTTAGTCTAGGGTAAACTTCTAATATCTTTGTGAATATTGATGCTATATCTAGCAAGTTCTATAATAATTTTCAGCATTAGCATGTTTGAGTCCATATGAGTCACCTAGTTCTTTCTGAGTTACGATCTTAAAAGTTGAATCAGTTTATGGAACTATGGTTATTCTGTTTGTTGCTTTCTAGTCTATGTGCTTAACCGTATGAACCAAGGAACTTCATGAGCTTAATTTTTGATATCTTTAGTCTATGTTTCAATTCTAACCTTGGTATTTGAGAAAAAGATTTGCAGCTAAAGAAGGACTGCAGAGTCACTCCCACGAGTGACTAAAGTCACTCCAGCGAGTGACACTGCAGAAAAAAATGAAAATTCTGAACTCTTCCATTTAGCTGCTGAATCTTTCTTGTGTTATGATGTTGCAATTCCAGGCTGTTATACAAGGACGTCGCGATCCCTTGTATGGAGTATATTTCAACACAACCTAGAGCTTACAACGAATCAAACACATATGTTGAATGATGTGCACCATGAAGCCCTCCTCATCCATTTCAATTACTCCAACTCAGGGAAGTCACTAGTCTTCTACTTCACTCACAGGAATGAGAATATCACTCCTGCGAGTGACTACACAGTTTTTGTTGTGAACTGTTTCTGTTTCTGTGAACTGTTTTTGTTGATTCTGTTTTTGTGTGATCTGTTTGTTAAGCATCGGAGACAAATGCTTTGAATA